GGGGGGTGTGCAGGAGGCAGCTGATCAATGTTTCTCTCTCATCTATGTTTCTATCTGTCCCTCTCTCTTCCTCTCTGTAAAAAATCAATAAAATATATTTTTTAAAAAAAGAGTGGTGTTGCTCTAGCCTGTTTGCTCAGTGGTTAGAGTGTTGGCCTGTGGGCTGTAGGGTTGCTGGTTTGATTCCCAGTCAATGACACGTACTTTGGCTGTAGGCTCCATCCGCAGCCCGGGCATGCAGGAGGCAACTAATCGATGTGTCTCTTTCACATCAATGTTTCTCTCTTCCCTCCTCCTCCTTCCATCCCACTCTCTAAAAATCAGTGGGAAAAATATTGTAGGGTAAGGATTAAATAAAAACAAAACAGGGGTGGGTGTGTTACCATTAGAAAAATAAGTTTGAGTCTATTGACAATAGGCAGATGACATAATTAGATACATAAAAGATTAGGAGCAAATGGTCACTCCCAGATAATAACTTAATAGTTAAACCAGGGAAGGACTATAGAGACCAAGAATTACTAGTGAAGCAAGAACACCGGCATATGTTATTGCACACAAACAGTGCATATCATCAGACAAGTGTGGATGAAAATCTAATAGGAACTGTTATAAAAGCAACACTTCTGGGAGAGAAATTGATTGAAGTATATGTGAATAACAATTCTACTGATAACATGCTTTCAAAACAGGCATGTACCTCTGATCTACACTAATAAAAGAGAAAAATTGTAATTGGCGTATGACCGATACCCTTTTCATTGGCTAATCAGCGAGATATGCAAATTAACTGCCAACTAAGATGGCAGTTAACCGCCAAAAAAGATGGCGGCTAATTTGCATATTGCAGGCAGGATGGTACAGCGCCATCCGAGAGCGGGTTGGGGGTGTGAGTGCCAGCAGTCGCCGAGACCCGATCCCGCTGGCAGACCCGGACCCGGGCCTGCGGGGCGACTGTGGCATCCGCCCGCACTCACGCCCCCTAACTGGACCGATCCCGTTGGCAGAGCAGGACGCGGGCCAGCAGGGCGGCTGCGGCATCCGCCCACACTCACGCCCTCAACCTGCGAGATTGGGTTGGGGGCCTGAGTGGCCGGCAGTCGCCCAGGACCGATCCCGGATG